AAAAAAAAAAAAAAAAAAAAAAAAAAAAAAAAAAAAAGAAGAGGAAAAAAAAAGAAATGGGAGTGCTTTGAGTGCAAGCCATTGAGCTAGGAAGACATGCACTATTATTAAGTATCACTCATCCTTAGAACTGCTCACCTAAGTGGGTTTCACAGAGCTCTGTACTTGCTCTAAGCCACCTTCTCCAGACCTTGTCTCTCCTCTGAAGCAGGTTTTTTTGGCTGCTTTTGGGCAAACCACCTCATCATGGTCACAGTTGAGATCAGTAACTAGTGGGAGGACTGCAAGGGATGAGGGAAGCTGAGAGCTTGGATGCAGCCTCCTGAGTTGGGAAATAGGTCTGCAGGGGCATCCACGTCAGGCTGGCTTGTCTCGCCCTCTTGCTTGGGGAAACAAAGACAGGAGACTACTTCCTGAGATGGCGTTTGGAGAGGAACCCCTTGGTGCCTGGTGACACGAGGGCTCCCATGAAGTCCTCCGCATCACACCCAAGCCTAGAGTTCTGCACCAAGCCTCGTGTCCCAGACTGTCAGCTGGGGGAGAGGATCAAATGAACTCCCTGGAGGGGAAGGACCCAGCTCCCAGTTCTCGAAGGGAGGTTGCACTGGGATCCTCTGGGGGACATCTCCACATCGCATACAGAGATTCAGACTCCTGGGGTTCTGGGGGTGTGGCTGAAATAGAGCCCCTGGGAATTCTGATACTCACCCCTCCATGCCCACCCCAGGCCCAGTTGAGAATTGCAATCAAGTGCATGGGACACTAGATACAGCTAGGATTCAGCTGCCCATGGGAAGGGGACTCTGCTTATATAAGGTAAGACAGAGCTCCCATTCCACACTGGTGCTGCTCTTCTCAGGAGAGGGAGCACTAAGGGAGAGGGAGCACCGAGGGACAGCAAGGGTGGCAGAGGATTGGGAGGCAGAGGTGGTGCTTGGGGGCAGCCTTTCGGTAGGGACACTTCCCAAAGCCTCCTGGCAAACAAAGCCAATGCCTTCTGTTCTGGATCCTACAGCTGCCTTAGGATTTAACTCCATGGCATGAGCTGGACTGCTGGGAGACACAGCAAGGCCTCAGGATGCCACCTCCACAGGATGTGCTGCTGGAGGGACCTAGGGGCAGTGGCAGCTCCCTGAGGCCCGGGTTCCAGCCTGGGAGGCCTCCTGTGCTAGTTGTAAGTGACTCAGGCTTCAAATCTCCCCCAGTCAGCTGAATCCCGAAGACGGATCCTGGCTACCCACTCTGGAAATGGACATCCAATGCCACAGAGTTCCCCATGCACGCATCTACCTCACTGAGACGTCACACCATGCTGTGTGTATCTGGACCGAGACTCTTGGTCTTCCTCCTCATGGGGACGAGGACCAAAGGTGCAGGGAGGACTCCAGGCTGTCCCCAGGAAATATACAGAGGAAAAAAGAAGTAGGTTGGAGGGAAGAGGCTTAAAGGGAGGCCTGTGACCCTGGTTTTCCCTCTGCCCAGGGACTTGTGATGGAGCCCCTGTCTTACTCCTTGGGGGGCTCTGGGGTCTTGATGGAATTGGCCCCATTTTTGCCCAGGTGTGAGAAGTTAGGAAAACTCTGATGCACTGGCAGACTGAGGTGGGCTGCCACAGACTGAGGGGCCACCAAAGGGCAGTTTGGGAGGAAGACTGCATCCCATGCAACGCCTCAAACACGTTAAGCACACTCCTACCTGAGGACTCTGCACAGGCTCTTCTCTTTACCTGGAGTGCCCATCCCCTCTCCCACCCCCTGGAAAGCTCCCAGACTTCCTCTCTCCCTTCCTCCAGGCACTTAATTAATTAATTATGAGACGGAGTCTCACTCTGTGGTCCAGGCTGGAGTGCAGTGGTATGATCTCAGCTCACTGCAACCTCTGTCTCCCAGGTTCAAGTGATTCTCCTGGCTCAGCCTCCCAAGTACCTGGGATTACAGGCACCCACCATCACGCCTGGCTAATTTTATATTTTTAGTAGAGATGGGGTTTCACCATGCTGGCAGGTTGGTCTCAAACTCTTGACCTCAGGTGATCTGCTTACCTCGGCCTCCCAAAGTGCTGGGATTATAGGCATTAGCCACCTTGCCCGGCTGTATTTAAATGTTGTCTTCCTAGTGAGACCTGCTCTAGCTTCCCTAGTTAAAAGTTCTCAATATTTCTGATCCCATCCTTTCCTGCCTTTTTTTTTTTTTTTTGAGACTGAGTCTTGCTCTCCTCTCGCTCTGTTGCCCAGGCTGAAGGGTAGCAGTGCAATCTCAGCTCACTGCAACCTCCGCCTCCCGGGTCCAAGGGGTTCTCCTGCCTCAGCCGCCTGAGTAGCTGTGACTACAGGCATGTGCCATCACGCCCAGCTAATCCCTTCCCCGCTTTCTTTATCTCCTTTACATATATCCCTAACAGACGGTCACGTATCGCTTAACCACAGGGACACATTCTGTGAAATGCATCATTAGGCAGTTCAGCCATTGTGGGAACGTCACAGAGTGCACTCACACAAACCTGGATGGGAGAGCCTACACCACACCACACCTAGCCTACATGGTGTAGCCTATTGCCTCCAGGTGATGAACCTGTACAGCATGTGACTGTAGGGAATGCTGAAGGCAACTGTAACACAATTGTAAGAATTTGTGGATCTAAACATATCTAAACATGGAAAAGGTACAGTAACAATACAGTTTTATAATCTAATAGGATCCCTGATACAAAAGCAGCCCTTTGATGACTGAGACATCATTATGCATCTATAGCACATGACCTCATTACATATTTTATGTATTTATCTTATTTATCACCAGTACTCCCCACTAGACTGTAAGCTCCCCAAGGGCAGGGGATTTGTTGATTTCATTCATTGCTCCACCCTAGAGCGTAGGACAGTGCCTGACACACAGTAGGTCCTCAATGAACATTTGTTAAATGAGTGAATGCAGGGGCCTGGGGAGCTACCTTAATCCAGGCCCCCAGGTTGTCGGTGGGGGGGGAGTGCGGAATGTTCCTGAAGATCTCTAAGTGCTCTGAGGACACTTTGGCGTTCTTGGGGAAAGGGTTGGGAAATCTTGGCCTGGATTTTTTGGTGGCCCCAGACTAAGCCTCCTTCTGAGTATGCCTAGACCCACCCTGGCAGCACTGGGGACTGTAGCATCAGTGCCAGACCTAAGATGCAAATGGAAGGGGGACAGAGAAACTTCTCTCTGTGTTTAAACTCCTGACCCATTATTCGCTGACCACCTGGCCCAGCTGCTGATTTCTCCCCAGAGAAGGAGCTAGCATCACCCACTCTGCTGCCAGCTCTCCTCCTGCAGAGAATTGAAAACATTCATCTGGTAAACATAGAGGTTTGGTACCCAGTTCTTTACATCCTCGTCCCAGCTCTCACATAATCCCAGGAAGACTGCGGTTTTTGGGAACAGGGGCCAATTCTAGACTTTGATTCCCTTCTCCTCCTTTAGAATTTTACACATCCTGGACTGGCTGCAATGAGGAGAAAGCTGATTTAGGCTAATGGTTGCCCCGGGCTCAGCTCTTCCCTCCTGTCTTCCAAGGGGTTTTGCAGAGCCACACACCCCAGGGTGCCATGCACCCATGCCTCCCACTTGCTAGGCAACCTCAGGAAGCGCAGCCTCCACTCCGAGCCTCTGTCTTCTCACTTGTGAAACACAGATTGTAAAAATGCAAGTTCCTGGGTTCCTGGAGGATTACAGGGGATAAAGATGAGAAGACACACTGTCCGCTACCATGATGATTAATTTGCTCTGGGTTTTGTGACAAGAGAAGCATCCTAGAAGCTATGCCCTCTGGCCTCTTGCGAATGTAATTTTAAGTGAAGATCAAGGGGGCCGCCAAGTGGGAATGCATATACAGGTGTCTGAGACAGCCCAGGTTGGCTTCTGGGCTGTGAGGCTGAGTCTCAATGGACGCAAATGTACACACACAAGCATGCGCGCGTGCACACACACACACACCCCCCCGCCGTGGAGCTTACCTGTCCACCTGGATTCCCATATCTTTCATCTCTGCCTTGGCAGGTGCCCCTCCCTTGACCCCTCTGCTCCCACTGGTGAGAAGGTTCAGCACAGGCTCTATCTCCTTGAGCAGTTCATTGTTTTCCCCTCTGCCTTGGAGGCCGACTCTGGCTGCTTTCTTTGCAGGGTCCTGGCCCGGGGGCCTGGGGGCCAGGCCGTTGGCATGGGGGAGCGAGCCAGCCTCCTGCCCATCGTCTTGGGCATGCTGAGGCCCATTCCCAGGACCCGAGGCCCCATCCACTGCCAGGGGTTGTTCTTTGCCGGCCGATGGCTGGTGAGACAGATCCACAGCTTTGGTGGGGGGACCCAGGGGCTGTGTCACCCGGATGGTTTTGGGGGTCCCATCACCTGTAAAGGTGGTCTCCAGGTGCGTGGTGAAGCCTTCAGGGCCCCTCAGAATGAGGACCACGTGGGTCTCGGAGGCAATGCCTCTGAGTACCTCCAGGGCGCTGTCATAGCTCAGGTCCACCAAGGGCCGGCCGTTGACCGCAAGAATGATATCTCCGGCCTGGATGAGGCCACTCTGCTCCGCGGCGCCCCCACGAATCAGGTCGGAGATGATCACGGGTGGCTTACTGACCCGCTCCTTCACCAGGAATCCCAGGCCCCCAACTTTGCGCTTGAAAAGACGAACAGAAATGACATTGGGCTGGATTTGCTGAACACCGAACATGTGATCCTCCATGGTAACCAGCTTCCAAGGGGTCCTGTCTGAAGACCTCACGATGCTATCAGGCCAAGATGATTTCACCAGGAGGAGCCAGGCTTCAGGCTACGCTGAGAGCAGGAGCCGGGGTGACAGGTGCTGACAAGGCTTCAGCCCTCTCTGTCTTTGACGTCAACTCAGCGTCACCCACTCATGGCTGGTGGCCCATCGGTGGCATGATTTCCTGCGTCCGCCTCTCTCCTTATTCTCCAAGGAAGTGATGGTTGACCAGGCAGACGTCAAGAGAGGCAGTGGGATGTGTCCCTAAGCCACAGGTCAGGCAGAGAGGGGAGGAGACGCGTCTGGTGGCTGTGTCTAGAAGTGACGCATGATAGATGTGAACTATTCTCTGGGTATCTTCATTGCCAGCCTGTTAGATGAGGATCAGATCTGAGGCATCATGAGCTGAAGAGGAAGAACAGGAAGGGGATGAAAAGAATTTTACAAAAAGAGATTGAAGTAGAGTGCCCAACACCACCTTGAAAACTGAGATAGAAAATGGAGCCAACTGACAAAGTCTAGCCACAAGACACTCCAGAATTTCAAGCCAACCTAGAAACAAAATCCTTCTTTCTGGAGTTAGCTGCAAAATACCTAGTGTCACTTCCATGATCAATGCCCTCCGGGACGAAAGGGTCTCCCTGGGCAAACCACGGACAATCACCCCCAGAAATCAAGTGACAAGAATCAGAAAACCTCTCTTATCTCTTTCCCACCACGAGAAGTCATCAGTCCAACTTGTCAAGCATTCTAGTTGCTCTCTGTGTCTTGTATACATTTTCCATCCATAGCTCAGGGGCTTAGCTGGTATAGATTTTTGGGCTCTCTTTTCCAGCCGCTCCCAAAGCCCAGTGGAACGGGAATGACACTGCCTTCCACGGATCCAACGATGACGAACGTCAGTTGGCCTTCATAACCATTTTTATAATTATTAGCTTGTTTCATGTTCAAAAGGATAGGCTTAGTCACACTACAAACATGAATACCAAGAAGATGGGTCCACACAAAATTGTGGAAGACACTTTTGCTACACACACAGCTGAAACCCTGATGGAGAAACCTTAGGAAGAGTAGATTTTATAGCCCTAAGGGAAACATAGGAACATTGCAGGTACTCAATGAGTATTAGTTGACTGAAGAAAGAAAAACCCCAAAGACTAAACACGGCAGACACTTTTTGAGCACGTTCGCTCTTAACACATGTATTTTTTATTTCTTCTTTGATCCTAACGATAACTCCTCAAAAGAAGAGGAAAGGGAAGCTTGGGAAGGTTCAGTAACTTGTCCAAGGTCGCACAGAGAATAATGGCAGGGGTAGGGTTTGACCTTGATCTTGAGATTTTAAACTTATACTCTAGCTCTTCCAAATTTATACTCTAGGATGGGTATGGAGACTCACACCTGTAATCCCAGCATTTTGGGAAGCTAAGGAGGGAGGATCGCATGAGCCCAGGAGTTCGAGACCAGCCTGGGCAACATAGTGAGACCCTGTCTCTATTTATTAAAGAAAAAAAATCAGGACAGGCACAGTGCCTCACACCTGTAATCCCAGCACTTTGGGAGGCCAAGGCAGGCAGATTACCTGAGGTCAGGAGTTCGAGACCAGCCTGGCCAACATGGTGAAACCCCCACCTCTACTAAAAATACAAAAATTAGCCAGGCGTAGTGGTGGGTGCCTGTAATCCCAGCTACTTGGGAGGCTGAGGCACTAGAATTGCTTAAAACCAGGAGGTGGAGGTTGCAGTGAGCTGAGATTACACCACTGCACTCCAGCCTGGGCAACAGAGTGAGACTCTGTCTCCCTCGTCCCCCAAAAAATCAAATCTATATTCTAGTTATTTTCTTAACTCCTAACTTTTTCCCTGAAATGCTGGCATCTTCCAAGTCACTGACTCTCTCAGGCTCAAAGAAATGGGGTCTGGTTGGGGTACCAAAGGCCAACAGGGGGCCCAGCTGGAGATGCTGTGGCCCAGGTGAGGGGCGAGCACCTGTAGCATGTACCTATGGGGCTGTGTACACGCACAGTGTGGCACGTCTGGGGTGGGGCAGGTGATCTGTGGGTGTGGGTAGGGTGGGAAGTAGCCCCCAATCCCTACCCGTGATTATTAGTTTGTTCCAAGTTCAAAAAGATAGGTTTGGTCACACTACAAACATCAATGCCAGCAAGATGGGTAGTGGACATCAGAGAACCCTTCCATCTCTTTCCCTACCCCCCACTCAAGTGCTACTTCCATCTCTGTCCCAAAGCCCCTTCCTGCCAGCATCCTCACCACGATTCAGCACCAGGAGGGAACCCCCATCTGCCATGACTAACAAACTGACACTCACTTCCTCGTTTCCCTTTTAGGGACTTCCCAGGGTCACCCCAGGGCTAAGGCAGCTGACAAGCTCCTGCTGCCTCTGAGAGCAGGAGGTGGGTGCAGAGACCCCTTCCGGAAGGAGGTGCCACCTTCTGGAGCCCCTCAATGGGGGGTGTGTGTGTGGGGGTAATTAGCAAGTTTAGTCTCCCCTTTGCAGCCTGCATTACGTAACTCCGCCAGCCCCTCTGTGTGGGTGAGGAAATAATGAATCCCCAGGCCCAGCCTGGGCTACATTTTCCATCTGGCGTTGCTCTGTGTATGTGTTTCTCTCTGTGTATTCATGCGTCGCCTGCGTGCTGTGTCATTTCTCTGCTGTATGTGGCCTGGGTGTCAACCGGCTGAGTGTCTTTTGGCATCTTGCTGCTGGGGTTCTGGTTTGCAGGGAAACCCATCCAGGACCGTGCTGTGCCCCTCTCTCTCCTTGCTTCCTTAACCCTCCCCGAGCCCCACGTCCTCCAGGTACCAAACCCAGGATGCTCACTGTTCAGTTGGTGGCAGAGACAGCCGGGATGTCCAGAGCTCTCTTGAGCATTCTGTTTGGCATTAGGGCTTAATTCTTTATTAAAAGAAGCAACTGAAAGGCGACCTCTTAGGGAGGCAAGGCCCCCAAGCTCACTTCCTCCAGACTCTGGCTTGGGCCGGACCTTACTAAAGGACAGAGGCGGGAATTAGCCTTTGGTGTACTTTGCTTAAGGAAAAAAGAAAACAGAAATGAAGCAACTGGCAACGGCCCCTGGCCGCTCTCAGCACGTTCTTCTCTCTTTCTCTGCTGCGTCCTACAATTAGGGAGGGCTCTGGGCTACTGCTTGGGAAATTGGTGTGCTCTTTCTCTCTCACACCTTGGCCATAGAAAGGAAACTTGATCTTTGGAAGGGGTTGGAAAGAAGCTGGGCTGGGGAGAGGTAGATATATTTTTTGTCTGCTGAGAGACAGAGACACAGAGAGGGAGGGAGACAGCAAGCTCTGGGTCTGAGTTCTGGGTTCTGAGCGCTCTTCATTGTCAATCATCTTCTTCTTTTTTTTTTTTTTTTTTTTTTTTTTTACAGAGTCTCATTCTGTCACCCAGGCTGGAATGCAGTGGTGCAATCTCAGCTCACTGCAACCTCCGCCTCCCGGATTCAAGAGATTCTCTAGCTTCAGCCTCTTGAGTAGCTGGGATTACAGGCTCCCGCCACCACACCTGGCTAATTTTGTATTTTTAGTAGAGACGGGGTTTTGCCATGTTGGCCAGGCTGGTCTCGAACTACTGACCTCAAGTGATCCGCCTGCCTTGGCCTCCCAAAGTGCTGGGATTACAGGCGTGAGCCATTGCACCTGGCCGTCAATCATTATCTTAATAATAATTCCACAACACTTTCTCTGCCTCCCTTTCCTCCCGCAAAACATCCTCATCTATCATATTTTTCATCCTTGTCCTGACCAACATCAGGTTCGGCTATCCCCCAGCTTTACAGATAAATAAATTCAGCTGCTATAAGGACACCCGCTTGTCCCGGTTTTTGAATGTCCAGTTTCCGTGAGGCTCTGTAGGGAGAGCTGGCCACCTCCTGCCCAGGGAAGAGTTTTAAGGTCCTTCCTGGCTCTATCCGGGTGTTTCTGGGTGAGTTCTTTATTTTCTCTGAACCTCAGTTCCCTTATCTGTAAAATGCGGTCATTTATAAGCACCTCGTCTCTGGGTAACAGGGAGGGTTAAATTAAACAGTAAATGCAGGGAACTTGGCAGTGTCATAGAGTAGTGAGAGCTCAGAAAAGTGGCTTCCTATTATTGTTATGTAATAGATAACGATTCGGACTTCCTGGCTTTTAATTCAGTGCACTTTCTACTCTGTCACTGTCCAGCCAAAGGTATTTCAGGCGCCATGTAGAAGGGGGCCCTTCCCTTGAAATCACACTGAGCCATCTCACGCCAGCCTGGGTGGGAGGGCACCGTCTACGGAGAGACGGCCGCTGGACGGAATCGCCTGACAACCCTGCCTCCACCCTCGCGAACAGGGATTTTAAACAAATCACATATGCATGCTTGCCAGTGTACATACCATGGAAACAATACTTGGACCCAAGCCTCATTCAAGTAGTTCAGTGGCTTCGGGTGTATTTATTTCATTTACCTTGCTGTGAGGAAATTAGTAGCTGACTATCGGGGATGCCTGCCAGTGACAGGGAGGAAGCCCAAATAGGGCAGCGTCTGCTACTCCCTCCTCTCTGTGCGACCTTGACCAAGCCCCTCTCCACCCTGAACCTCATTTCTGCAACTGAAGGAAAGGTAACAGCAGCAGCCTCCTGTGGTTGAGAGCTTACTGTGTGCTAAGCATTGGTGCCTGAGCCCTCTGCATAGGGGTTTTATTAAATTGTTACAGACACCATAGGAAATATATATATGTGTGTATATATATATATAGAGAGAGAGAGACAGGGTCTTGATATGTTGCCCAGGCTGGTCTCAAACTCTGTGCCTCAAGTGATCCTCCTGCCTTAGTCTCCCGAGTAGCTAGGACCACAGGTGCATGCCACTATACCCAGCTAGTTGTTTTTATATTTGTAGAGACAGGGTCTCACTATGTTCTCGAACTCCTGGGCTCAAGTGACCCTCCTGCCTCAGCCTCCTGAGTTGCTGTGTCTACAGGCATGAGCCTCCATGCTGGGCCTTGTAAGCGCCATTTTTATCTGCACCTTATGGATGGATAAGGCAGATGAGGTTCAGAGACATAAATCAAGGAGGTAGATCTGGGTCTAAGCGAGTGGGTTCTGAGCACTCTCTGTGGTCAATCACAGTCCTGAAAATAATCCCACAACACTATGCCTCCCTCCTTTTCCTCCACAAAGCACATGCTCATCTGTGGATCTGGGTCGTATTCGATTGTCCCCATTTTATAGACGAGGAAACAAAGCTCCCACAGGGAAGCCTGCCTGTCCTGGTTTGCCCATGCTTTCCACTTTTAGCATTGAAAGATGAAGAATGTTAGGATGAAGGGAAGCCACCAAGCCTGTCTAGTCTAGCTTCCTCATTCAGAAATGAGGAAACAGAGGCCTGGAGAAGCAAAGGGC